CCGCTGCACCTTCCTCCGGGCCTCCACGTCGCACTTGTTCCCCAGCAGCAGCCGCTCCACCCCGGCTGAGGCGTTCTGGGGGAGCAGAGAGCTGGGCCGCGCCCTCACCTCCCGGCCCGCTCCTCCGCAGCGCCAGCGGGCAGCCTTACCTCCTTGATGCTTTTCATCCAGTTCTGGATGTTCTCAAAGGACTGCTCGTCTGTGATGTCGTACACCAGGATGATGCCCTGCGGGACAGCAGAGCTCACCTGCAGCCACGCCCTAGGTGCCCTGTCCAGTGGGGCGAGGGGCCTGCGGGGCGAGGCCTAGCATGTGTGGGTCTTAGCGCTGGAAAAAACAAACAAACCAGAACCAAACAAGAAAAGGAACAGCTCTGGGGCCCACTGCACAAAAGCTCCATCTCCAGCCCTGCCTACTCCTAGAGGTCACCCAGGCCGCACATACCATGGCTCCGCGGTAGTAGGCCGTGGTGATGGTCTTGAACCGTTCCTGGCCAGCCGTGTCCCTGAAGGAGAGGGGTTCACAGAGCAGGAGGGAAATAAGGGGTCACCCACAGGTGAACCCCCCAAGAATCCAGCTCCCACAACACAAGGGCACCAAAAGGAGCAGATCGGGGAAAAAGTAAAGAGGGGAAGGAGCGAGGGCGAGCCTGCCCGACACAGCAGAGGGCTGCAGGTACAGTCCAGCCATAGAGGGCTCACCCAGCATTCACGGGGCCGCAGGTATGATGCTGGGCAGGAGCGGGAGGGAAGAGCCACCACCCCAAGCATAGTGATACACATCTGCAATCCCAGCACTATGGAAGCTGAGGCAGGAGGATTGCAAATCTGAACTCCACCTAGGCAATTTAGCAAGACCCTGACTCAAAAATTTAAAATGTAGACTGGGGGTGGTGGTGCACACCTGTAATCCCAGCACTCAGGAGGCTGAGGCAGGAGGACCGCTGTGATTTCGAGACTAGCCTGGACTACATAGTTCCAGGTCAGTCTCAACTACATAGTGAGACCCTGTCTCAAAAAACAAAAAAACAACAAGAACAACAAAAAAAGTAGCCCGACTTGGTGACACACACCTGTAATCCCAGCACTTCAGACACAGAGGTAGGAGAATCACTGTAAATTTGTGGCCAGCCCGAACCACATATTGAAAGCCTGTCTCAAATAAAAATAAAAAGGAAAAAGGGCTGGGATTGTACAAAGGTCCTGGGTTCAATTTCCTGTATAGACAGCCTGAAAACAAGATATCTTTTTACTCATTGAAAGCTTACTGTCAAGCACCAAGTATCATCATTTTATCTAACCACACTCTATCTCTGTGAGACATTTGTATTTGTACCCATGTCTGCCTTTTTTTCTTCTTTTTTTTTTTTTGGTACCCGGGGTTGAACTCGGGTCCTTGCACTTGCCCCCGTGAGGGCTTTTTTTGTTACTTTATTTCTATTTTTTTATTTATTTATTTATTTATATTTTGGTACTGGGGATTGAACTCAGGACCTTGCACTTGCGAGGCAGGCAGTGGAACCACTGAGCTAAATCCCCAGCCCTTATTTCATTTATTTTGAGACAGGATCTCTCTAAATAATTCAGCCTGGCCTCGAACTCACTATATAACCCAGGCTGGCCTCAAACTTATGGCAACCCTTCTGCCTCGGCCTTCCCAGTGCTGGGAATCTAGGCATGTGCCACCACATCCAGCTATTTGTTGTATCTTAATGCCTCCCCGGGAGTGGCACAGGACTTGAACATACGTGGTCTCCAGCTTCCTTGTTAAGGACCAGTCCAGCCTCTGTGAATGGCCCTCTGGGCTCTCCCTCCTTGAGAGACAGCAGAGGCCTGGAGCTGTCTAGATTTCGACACAGGCGGTTAGTGAGAAGCTGTTTCCACATTACAGCTCAACAGCTCTTTGTTTTCAGGATCCAAGAATGCTCCAGACCCAAGGGACAGAAGAGTTACAAATAGGCTGAAAAACGGCTGGGAGAGCAGAAGAGAGACAGAAGGACAGCTGAGTAAGCAAGACAAATAAGAAGAAACAGTGGGGAGATTGGGGAGTCTCACTCACCAGACTTGCAGTTTTATCTTCTTCCCCTCTATGTCCACAGTGCGGATCTTGAAATCAATTCCTAGGGGCAGAAGGTGGGCCCTGAGGTCAAGGCGCATCTGTGTATGCGCACATACGGAAAAGCCTGTGGCCCGAGAGACAGGATGCGGCAGAGGCAGTGCAGTAACTGCAGGGTAGGCATTTGGGGCACAACCTCACTGGGTGTGTAGGACCAGGCAGGTTCCCCTGAAGCTGTGCTTGTGGCAAGTACAGTGCTGTTACTCAGGGTTTTGTGGAGTTTTAGAGGAAGAAAGAAGATGGAGGTTCTGAAGAGGCCTCGAGGCCAGGTCAGCTGAGAGCTCCCACATTTCTGTCTCCTCAGGAATACCCCTTCCACATTCCTTTTCCCTTCTATTTCCTTCCGGCCCTCTGTGGTTAGTATTTCAGCATCCTCCTGACAGTGTTGTGTAGAGGAAGGGAAAGGACAGCCGTGCAGTCTCTGTGAGTTGATGCTGGGCGAGGCTTGGATCTGAAAGTCTAAGCCCGTTAGGGAGATTCCTCTTTGTACTCAGAACTGCCTGTCCTGAGACTCTCTCTCTTATTTCCCAGCACACAGTAGCCTAGAGAAAGCTGAGGGGAGATGAAACACCAGCCCCTTCCCAATCCTCCCTCCCTCCAGCTTCTGGGGCCCCAGGGAGAAGGCTGAGTCACCAGGCTGACTCAGAGACCCCCAAAGTCCCCTGGTTCCCACTTTCCTCACCAAGGGATTGCCTAATCAGGATCACAGTGCTCCAGGACCCGGTGCCACCCTCCGGTGCCCAGAAAGTCGAGAAGGAGGGAGCAGGTGGTGAAGTGGACAGTGGGACAGTGCTCGGTGGGTCAGGAGGAGGCCAGGAGAACGGGGAGAGACTCGTCCTGAACACAGGGCTTATGGAAAGAGGATCGAGTTCCAGGTGGCCAGTGGGGAGGAGCTGGACGGCAAACTGCTCACTCGGACTTGGGCAGGGCAGGAAGGTGGCACCAAGGAGACAGGGCTGGCAGCCACTGAGTTACCTGGGGGCCTGGAAGGAGGCTAGAGGTGTGGGCCCCGTCCAGAGGCACGGGTGAGGCTGGGCCTGGAGGGCCCGGCGGGACTGGCGTCTAGGGTGCCTAGGGTCCCTAGAGATGCAGCAGCTGAGCGCGGGGCACAGGCTGCGAGGCGCGGGATTGGCCGCGGGCTCACCGATGGTGGAGATGTACGTGCTGTTGAAGTTGTCCTCCGCAAAGCGAATGATCAGACACGTCTTGCCCACCCCCGAGTCCCCGATCAGCAGTAGTTTGAAGAGGTGGTCGTAGGCCTTGGCCATGGCGGACCCGGGCCGGGCGGGGAGGGAGCGCCCGGCTGGGACTGCAGTGGAGACACGCTCGGGCCCAGGCCAGGAAGCACTTTTCC